ACCATCATCCCACAAAGAGGAAATGAGTAAAATGGATGGGATAGTTCATGATATAGTTATCATAGCTCTGAAAGTAATTTTCACTAGCCTTTACTCTTAGAAGGTGGTAAAAAAATTATGGCAAAGCAACATATACTAACAATGTGGGTGCAGCTATGCTGTGGATTTTTGTGACAGTATCACACATCAGGTTGTATAGAGATTATCCAAACTGTTTTCCTCTGTGCGCTTTAGTGCTCCAGGATAATAGTGGCCAGATGTCATCTCCTTGTTTTAGTGTTGATGGACAATTAGCATCAGACTACAGGTAAATATGCAGCACTAGCTGGGTGTTCTTAGTCTTTCTACACATTAACAATATAACATGTTTTATGTACCAGCATGGTGTAGATCTCTTCTAGGGAAGTGGTAAAGAAAACACCTTGGCAAAATTATACAGTGGGTATTTTTGAGGCCTTGCTAAAGGCATGGCTGAGCTGTACTGTACAGAGGCTAAGAAAATTATTTGAAATTATCTTCCAAGACCAGTAAGCATAAGACTAAAATGATGCTTGGGCTACCAGCCTGCAGCGTAAGTATCTAGACAGAATTTGTTAGAGTTAACACTGCTAAATCCAAGTGGTGAGTGAGGCCACCTACTGCTACTGCAGTTAGAAGCTTGCTTGGGTATTAGTGATGAAGGACTGACAGAGAAACTGACTTCTTTGCTCTGCACCATCATATGCTGAAGGATTAAGGAATCAAGGTCTGTATGAATACTTGATGATCTGGCCCCTGAATCTTCAGGACACTGCCAGTGCATAGGATTTCTGTGATGCGTTAGATTTAGTTTTATTATAAGGAAGCAGTATGATATACTATGATTTTGAGTCTTATAATTTATCTGGTAGTGTGGTATTCTGTTCCAGGATGGCCAGTAGTTGCCATACTAGAGAGCACTTTGCTGTAACTTTCTTGAATTCTTCATTGCACCCTTTCTAGCATAATTAATATGTTACTTTGTGGAGGGAGAATGTGCAAGGAGTCTCTTTAGAGATGCATTCTTGTGGTGTGAATTGATTTGTTATCAGTTGCTGCCTAAGCTTTCTGCCTTCATAGACTCTCCATTTTATCTGTGCTGTCTTCTACTGTATTAATTCCTTTAATTCTCCACAGCAAAAATGACAACTTTGACTGAAGAATGACTCAAAACAGCACTGCCACAGTGAGAATTTAGTTTATTAAATTTATTGCATTCATTTGTATGTTAATGTATGACAGTTTCTCCTTTTTCTTCTTTTTCTCTCCTGCTACATAACAACTTCCTACCTCTTTTGCATGCATTCAGTGTCTCTCTATTGCATCCTAAGAAACTCAAACCAGGAAGCTTTACATTACCCACTTAGCGCAGCCCAAGCTTCAATATTATTGTCAAAATGCAGTGTGTTTTCCCTAAGTACTTCCTACCAAAAAGCCCAATATATTTCAGCAGTGTGGCAGTCTATTATGCTGAGGAATGTGAGACATCGTCTAGAAATTATAATGTATCAGGAATATAAGTGGTACAGAGTAAGTAGTATATTTTTCATCTTTAAAGTCCTGAGTTACTTCAAATCTGTTTATTTTAATTGAATTTGACTGTTGACTGTGAATGAGCAAGACAGTTTTGAGCACAGAACTTACTAGCTGTTGCTTTGCATTTTTTGGCAGAGCACAGCTTCTTCAAGTCAGGCACAAGGGTTGGTGGAAGCTTTCTGATGAATAAAGTCAGGTATACACTTATGGACTCCCCTTGCTACTTTTAGGAGAATGCACTTTTTACTTCTGGGTCAGCAGTACCTTCTCTGACATAAGAATTGTTTTCCCAGGTGCAAATGCAACAAAAATACCTGTATCAGACTGCTCATGTAGTCTTTCCAATTTATATTGGATATTTCAATAGTATTGAAATGTCTTTATAATAGTATACTAGAGAGTCAAACACAAACTAATTTTCAGGAATTTCAGATTCTCTACCTCCTTTTAGGGTTTTTGGATTGAGAGCTCTTGATTAGAAGTGTTTGTCAATTCCCAGTTCACACCAGTATTACTGACCATCAGGCTAACTGACGTAGGTATTCCCTACCTCTCAGTAGCAAACGTAATGCCTGTGTTTTGGCAATAGGAGAATACCTTTCTTGCCTGATCTGTTAGTGTATGGTTTTTAGCTCTCACTGTGCAAGATATACGCATTGCTACCACTTCTTTTCTAACAAAATCAAAAAAGAAACTGTCCCTTCTACCGTCTTTTCCAATTCACTGTTCATTCTGTTTCAAGTGAAAGACGAAAAGTTTTCAGTATAAATACTGTGCAGAAAATGAAGCTACCAAACTGTTGAGTAAATTGGGTTTTTCTCTTACTGCAACTTTTCAGTGTGATCACAGATAGGCTATGGTAGATCCTTTTGATATTGTGCTACCACTGTAATTGTAGCTTGGGTGTTCTGCTTGTTGGAAGAAAAAATTCCACCCGTGACTGTGCAGGGAATGTGCATTATGTAGAAGAAGGAATAAGGAAAGATTAGAAAAAAAAAAGAAGCAAACTTTTTAGCCTGTCTTTAATTAGCATAGAGGATTGATAATTCTTATTTTGTGTCCCACAGCTGGATTTAGGCCCTAGCTTAGCCATACTGTTAAAGTTAAATTTTCAGCCACTTACTAAAACCTACTGTGAAATCTCCATGAGAGTCTGTAATTTTGTTCTTTTTCTTATTTCTTTAAGCACTTGAGTAGTCATATAACATCTTCTGAAGTGGCAGATAAATGCTGTGGAGGCTGAGAAAATTCTCAGCAAAAGTAACTAATGCAGGAGAACTGAAAATATATTTGACCATACTGATCAGATATACATTTAGAGCTGGAAACAAACCTGCTTTGTTTGCTGGCACTTGGGGGGGGACATGGACCATGAATTTCAGGCCAAGTGACCTGAGATTTGGGACATATCCAGAATGATAAAGTGGTGTGTTTAAAGTAATAGTCTCATCCTGTGTTCCTGCTAATATTTTAAACCACCTACACTCGGTTTTCTGTGGCTCAGAGTTACAGCAGCATTTAAAAATGTCTCGGTTTGAGACAGTTTGGAGTGGCAGTGACCTTGGACAGAAGTCACCTCCCTCAGATTCAATACCCCTGATTTCTCCAATACAGGGAGAGAGAGAGACTAAATACACCTGGATGTAAGAGAAAAGATAACTCTTTACAAAGAAGAATGCTAATAACAATACTGATAAAATTGGGTTAGACCAACTGATAATGAGAAAATTCCGAATCCCCACCCACTGGACCAAATTGAGATGGCAGCTGGCCTCCCCCACCTGGAAAAAACACGTGGCCTCAGGACAGAGACAAGATGGGCTGCCCTTCCACGTGGTTCACCTCCCCCACTCCAGGAAAACCTGACTGGAATAGTTGGAGAGTCAGTGCTGGCAGGAAGTGGTGGATGGCTGGGATTTGATACTGACAGATGCTTGCATGGCGCTGGAGTGAGGCTGCAGTGCTTGTACAGGCAGCCAGAGCAGGGCTGCCAATCCCTCAGGTGACTGGAAGGACCCACAAGATACCCACTGGATCCAGCAGTGAGCCTATGTTGTTGCAGTTGGTTGAAGTGGTGTTCTGTCGAAGGTAGTCACAGTCCAGATCTGTCAAGGTGGTGGTGGAAGCCCCAAAACTCAAGACTTATATATGCTCAGGTTCAGGTGGGAACATGTCTGGTACCTCTGCTGGGGCGGGGAGGTCTATGCAGGATGATTTAATACTTTGAGTCATTGGATACTTCTGGAGTATTTGACACCTTCTGAGGTGTTGCAGCTGTCTCTATAGCCCATTATGGCTCATCAGAAGACATGAATACCTTCAGGTGGGGTAGCTTATTGGTACTCAAGAATCCCTTCTTCCAGGCTCAAGAACATTGCATCCCAGTGAGAAAGAAATCAGGCAAAGAGGGCAAGTGACTGTGGATGAATAAAGTTATTACTTAAGTGTAAGCAGGAAATACATAAGAGATGGAAGCAGGGTCAGGCCACTTGGAATGAATATATAGAGCTTGTCAGAGTAAGTAGAAATGAGACAAGGAAGTTTAACAAAGACAAGAGCTGAATTCTGCACCTGAGACAGGGCAACCCCAGATGTACAGACTGGGGAACGAGAGGCTGGAGAGCAGCCCCATGGAAAGGGACCTGGGGGTCCTGGTTGATGGCAAGTTAAATCTGAGTCAGCAGTGCCCTGGCAGCCAGGAGGGCCAACCGTGTCCTCAGGGGCATCAGGCAAAGCATCACCAGCCGGTGGAGAGAGGGGATTGTCCCAGTCTGCTCTGCACTGGGGTGGCCTCACCTTGAATATTGTGTGAAGTTTTGGGCACCACAATATAAGAAAGATATTAAGCTAATAGCATCCAGAAGAGGGCTACAAAGATGTTGGAGGGTCTGGAAAGGGAGCCATATGAGGAGCAGCTGAGGTCACTTGATCTATTCAGCCTGGAGAAGAGGAGACTGAGGGGAGACTTCATTGCAGTCTACAACTTCCTCATGAGAGGAAGAGAAGGGGCAGACACTGATCTCTCTGGTGACCAGTGATAGGACCCAAGAGATTGTCATGAAGCTGTGTCAGGGATGGATTAGGTTGGATATTAGGAGAAGGTTCTTCACCCAGAGGATGACTGGGCACTGGAACAGGCTCCCTGTGTCAGTTCAGCACCAAGCCTGACAGAGTGCAACAGGTGTTTGGGCAATGCTCTCGGGCACATGGTGTGATTCTTGGGGCTGTTCTATGCAGGGCAAAGAGTCAGACTTCTATGATCCCTTTGGGTCCCTTCTATCTCAGGATATTCTATGATTCTCTGAATTCTAAATCTTTGTTGTTTGTCTAGGAATTGTATTTTATTTTTTATTTTGATATGCTAAGCATCAAAAAACTTAGAACCGATAAATACTTAAGAAAACTAAGAACAACCTTAAGTGATGATATTTGTGTTCTCTTAACAGAATCTGGTTCTGCAATTACTGCTTCCTGTATTGGTTTGGGAAACTCTACAACACCTCCACCTGGACAGGCAGGAAAACCCGTGCCAGGATATAATGGTAATACTATGCTAAAAATGTTACTAGAAAACGACATTGTTTGTATTCCTCAGTAAGTGATCTTTAATTGTAGCGAGAGCAAGTTACAGTGTTACTTACACGTTTTCCTCCTTCCTGAAACGGGAAACTCTGCTTTTTTGTGTGTTGTGGAATGTGATTGTGAATAAGAAATTCAGAGTTATGTTCAAGAAAACTGATCAACTACTCCTACCTTTATGATATGAAAAGGATAGCACATACTGTGATACAATACTTGTTGACACTTCTCCACAATGCTTCTGCACTTTAACACAACTTGAGAGAGTTGTTAAGCACATTATCTTTCAGTATTTGTGGAGCATTTTTATTTCCAGCTGGGAGAAATGGCAGGCTTTGGACCAACATGAAAAAGATGAGCACTCACTGTCGGGAAGGTATTTGCATGTAGAGGGTGCAAAAATATTTTAATACCTGGGAACCCTGATTTTAACACAATTTCAAGAATTACTTGAAGTCTGAAAAATAACTACATTAAAGATCAGATGGTCTTCAGGAGAAGTTCTCACATAATTGGGCAGAAAGCAGAAAACAGCAACTAAGATGTTTTTTTTCTTCTAATACATATAATTGGCAGTGAGCATTAAAGAAAATACATTTTCAGTAGCTCTTGGTTTTGGCATTTACAGTTATGGCATGATGATAAGCAGTAGCTTAAAACCAACTTTAAAACAGTGCCAAAGAGTTTGTCCAGAGTTGTAATAAATAGGAAAGAGTGGAAGAATGTAATTTTATCATGCATGCTATCAGATGGGATTTAGGATGAGAAAGAAGTATGAGTAGCAGGAGTATAAAAATTTCCAATTAATATTTTGGAACATTGGGACTAGTGTAATTAAAGAATTTCTTCAAGTAGAATAAAAGCAACATCTTTACCATACCTTATAAGGGAAACAAAAAATGAGCACTAAAATTGATTGAAGATTTATAATATAACTTTGCCTCTTTCAGTCTTTGACCAATTATGTCCTGTAATGCAGCCATTCATAAAATACTGATTTTTGAAATTACTATAGTGGCCACTGTCTTGCTGTCATCCACTTCTGTTTTGATGTCGTTTTCCTGCTTTTATTGTATTAATTAGAGGAGATACTTAAGCCATTTAGATGATAGATGCTGTATTCTTAGATTATACATGCAGCTCTTAATTATCGATAAGTCATGTTGTATTTACGCTGCAATATAAATACAAAGTTACAAGAGCCACTTTTTTTTTAACAAAGTCTTTCCTATTACATATTGCTAAAAGTAAACTGATTCGTTGCTGATTTTTAAGAACACAGAGAATAAGAGTTATGATATCAAATTGCAGTGGCATAAATTACATTTACAAGTGATTCAAGATACCATGGTAATTTCTAGGTCTGTTGCCTTAAGTCAGAGTTTTGGTGTGATTTTCCTTTGATCTAACTGAATCCTTTCCAGATAATTTAATTGCGTTTTCAGACTGAAGCAAATTCCACATTTTGAAGAAATAAGTCAGTTCTTCAGTAGTTCAGGAGTGAACAATATAGTAACTCCATTCTCCAGATTTTTCTACATTGAAATAAGCAGCTTGCAAGGAGGAGACTAAGGACTGAGATTAGTACCTTGATGAATCAGTTACAAAAAAAGATTATATTTTACTCTAATATCATAAAAATAGGAGAGAAAACATGGAAAACTACATATGAGTGGATCTTCTCACTGTGTGTTCTGAGCCTAAATTCTCCAAATCTAACATGAACAAATCTACCATGTTCTTAGACCATCCAACAGTAAATAAATTCAAAAGGCGTTTGCAGATTATGTCCCAGTTACACCAAGTGACTGATTTGTAAAACTGGCCTTATGTTCTTGGTTGTGTCTATGTGCTGAGCCATTGCTTTCAGCAGGCTCTCTTCAGTTACTTAAAAACTACCATCTTCTTTGAAGGAATAGCTTCAGCCAGAAATAGTAAATGACCAATGTTGGCATTCTTGGGTCAGATAGGATATGATATGACTCATACAAGCTTTAGCAGAGTTTTAGTCAGAAGTCTGTAATTTTTTCCCCATTTCCTCTGTGACCTTTTAATATAGAATGTAAGATTATTTGTAGTAATTTAGATTTAGCTGAACATTGCTTTCTTTGCTTCAGGAGGCTTCAAAAGGCATGTTTTAAAATCCTTATCAGCCCAATCTGTCAAAATCTTCCCTCCTCTTCTTCTATGGTTGAGTTGTTTCACTTTATTTAACTTATCAGAGGCCAAGTTGGTATTGTCATTCCTTTCTTATGCCCACACCTTTATATGGAATAGGTGGTTGTAGTATCTTCATTTCCCAGATGACTGCAAGGAAGAGGCTATTTCAGGTGTTTTTCCTCAGAAATTTCAGTATCAGGATATGATTCTTTCACTGAAGGTGGTGGGCCAGTGTTATCCAGGGAAAAGGCTTCATTTAGGAGGTCTGGATTCTGTGCTGCACTTGAGCATTACCCTGCTCTGCAGATTTGGGTAGTTCACAAGGTACTTTATCTCTTTGTGCTAGACTACAATAAACTTTGTTAGCTGGGGGGCATCTTTCTGAGACTCCTGAGAGCCTTTGAAAAGCAGGTATACTCATTTACTGCCAATAGTAAATTAACTGGGTTAATCTTCTAAGTTGATATTTCTTGCTCATGTTACCACATAGTTTTTCTTTATATTTGTTATGTATTTTAATGGTCCTTTGCTATTTGGAAGTTTAGATTTTCCAGTATCAAGCTTACTTTTAAATTTCAGTTCTCTGTTTTTCCCTTTTGAGACTTTGTTTCCCTATTTCTGTTGCCAAAGCCTGAGTATTTGTGCTTTTTGTGCTTGAGGCTGAATGTTAATAAAGCCATGACATTATCCAGTTTGGCACTCCCAAATTACTTAATTCCTTTTGTTGTTTGGTGTATTACCACTCTGAAGTGTGACATAAGTTGATATCCCTAAAGAAAGACACTTTCCTCCACCTAAAAATATGCTACTAAACTTGAGTTTTCTTCCTATATTACTTTTTTTACAGTGATGATTCTGGATGAAAATAAGGAACCAGTGAAGACCAAGACTTTGGGAAATATTGTGGTAAAGTAAGAAAAATAAGTATCTTACAGTTAAGGGAAGCTTCTTACCTGGCTTGATTGTCTTTTGACTAAAGTTTGTATATCTATAAAACACAATGATTGAAGTAATGGGGATTGCAAAGTGTGTCTGTCTCTGAGACGGTTACCGAACTGTCCATTGATATCGAAAAGTTGCAGATGAAATTGTGTGAGTGAATGAGGGTGGATTGCTGGCTTCTTAGACTACAGCAGAGTTTACCATTTTCCTAATTGCCAGCCTGTTGACATAGGATGAAGGCTTCCTGCTGTGATTTATGAGCAACATACTGAATCATTCCCTTTACACTTTTCTTTCACTTTAGTGAAATAGTACAGCACTGCAGATTGACATGCTTTGGTTTACAGTTGGGATGCTGCCTCTTCTTTCGCTGTTTCCTAATCCCAATTGATGCACATTCCTAGAGGGAGAACATGTATTTTCTGTTCTCTGTGAAAAAAAAAAAAAAAAAAAAAAAAGATGTCTCTCTGTGTGCTTTGCATGAAACAGTGTTACTTTGTAGTGGTACTTGGACAAAACACATACAGGACAGGACTACAGCCAAAAGAAAGAAAGAAGAAAAACTCATCGTGCATCATGATTTTTAGTACCATTTACCAGACTCTTGTCAGATGAGTTCCATAAGCTTTAATATTCTTTTTGAAAGTACACCTTTCTTGGCGCTTCTCATAGGTAAAATGATCTCTGTTTAGATAGCACTGTGAACATCAGTTACATTTGTCTTGCCTTCTGCCTTTTCAATTGTTGCCAGAACCTTCCCTTATTCCTGTAACACTCGCTAGGCTGCTGCTCCCCACAGCCCATGACAGCTCTATATTCTGGATGTTTCACAACTTTTAGGCAAATGGCATTTTCCTCAGACGGATTCCTGCTCTGTGATGAGTGTGGTAGCTGTAACCACCTCTGTTTTCAGTTGCAGAAAATACTTCAGCTCTGAACACTTCCTGACTACCAGCAAATACAAGTCCAAAATGAAATGCATTCATCTGTTTCTTCTGTGGTAAATTTCTGGAGAGTTGTGGTAGTTCAGAGTCTTTTCTGCTTGCTTAGAGGAATGGAAGGAAATAAAAGATTAGCATTAACCTTCAGTGAACTGAAAATCTGTCAAAAGCCAAAGCATTGGGCCAGATGTACCGATTGTAATGAATTGTTAGTGAAGGGAGCTGAGGATTGAGGCAACAGGCATATTGAGCTAGGGATGAGAGCTGTAAGAGCTGCAGCCACTGGACTGTGTTGCAGATGAGCAGCACTAACAGAGTGAGTGGGTTGGCATGGGAGGTAGAATTGCTGAGGTGTGGAGGTTTTTTGCTCTACTAACCTAATGTAACTAGATCACTGTGGAGGCTAAAGTAGTATCATGTGAAGTTATTGTACTGTGTATTTTCAGGATGAAGTCTATACCCTGCCTAAATCTCAGCATCTTTGGCTAAGTCCCCAAGAACACACAGGCATGGTTTTAAGTGTACACATGATCTTCCCTGAATCAGCAGACTCATATTTAGACGCAGTTTTCTTGTGACACATGTAGGATTGTGCGTTCCTTACATTGTGAAGTATGTACATGCATTCCATTACAGAGCAAAAATAACTGAAATTGCTCCAACCTTTTATAGACTGTGGTTTGAAGTATCAGTAACTCAGGTCAGAGTGGAAAGTTGTCTTTCAAGGCTCTCACCTCTGTAGTGCCTGAAGCTATAATAAAACATAGGCTTGTAATCAATGGAGAGAGAGAAAGGTATTATGTAAGAAAATTGATCCTGTCTGTGCTAGGTATTCATCTAGGATGGAATAAATTGTCTTCCAGGTGTGCTGATGCCTCTGCAGTGACTGCAGGAGTGGCGCAATTCACATAGGATAGGTGCTTAGTCTTGTCTGCCAAAAAAGAAGTGGAATAAACTCCATCCTTAGCAACTCTGCCAAACAATGTGACTTATATATACTAATAGTTAATGTTGGAAGATGTGTGCATATGTTTCTGAGTCCTTACTATCTTTAACTACCTGTTAGGAGTGATACTGCTGTATTAGAAGATCCTGTTTGGAGTTATTGTCAAACTCCTAAAAGCAGACTTTACCTTCCCTACCGTGTCCCCACATTTAGGCATTTATCTAAATGTGTCATGGTTACAAGCCAGGAAGGGGAGCTATAGTGATAAATATTCATACCATTACATCATCTGAAGGGGGTCATCCCAGGGTGCAGTGAGAGGATGGGGTGTTTATCCCTGAGTAAAAAGTTGTTCCAGGGTCTCAGCTGCTGCCAGAAGCTGTCCCTGCCTCGCAGAGACAGCAGCCAAGCCAGGGGCTGTTGATGCCCCTGGGCCACCGCTGCCCTGGACTGCTGCCACTTGGGCACAGCTGTGACCCCACAGGACTGCAGCCTCCAGACTGCCTCCACAGAGCACCACTGCCGCTCGCTCACCGCTCACCCAACACTGCAGTTGAGACCTGAACCTAATTGGGCGGTGTGGAGTGGCCAGTTGGGTATTGTGGTGCCTTGTGAGCAGTGCAGTTTTCCTGGGTTTTTGCTTTTACCCCTTTTACCCTGTTGTTTTCCTTTTGTTGATTGGGCAGACGGGGGTGGTTGGTGGGGAGGACCCTCTGCCGTTCTTCTTCCTTTTTCCTGGGGGACCATGTGATGCGGTGAGTTCCCTATTTTTTGGGTAAGCTGTTTTCCTTGTATATTTGTGGTGCTGCTGTTTTTCCTTGTTAGTAAATTGTTATTTTTTTCACTTATAAGGGCCTTGCATTTTTTTGTCTCTCTGTATTAGGGAAGTTGAATAAAAAGGGGAGCGATCTCATTTTATTGGAGTTCTCATCCCCACAGTTGTCTTTAAATCTAGTCAAAATTGAGCTTTCCCAATGTGGGGCTTGAGAAAGAGAAGTGAAAAAATAATAATTTTGAAAAACTCATTTGTGTATTGGGTAGAGAACCCCTGGCCATCGTGAAGATCAGTCTGCTCGTGTCAGTGTGACACCTAACCCTGTATATATGTTTGCCATGTGTGGAACTGTTTGCCCAGCATAGTGCTCTTTTTCAGACCAGGCAAAAGAACCTAGATACCTTTGTTGATGTACTATTGTGTGACATTGGTTTATAATGTGGTAACCTCAAAGACCATGAGTTTCATTTGGAATGTGTATGTGGGGTTGTGCCCTGGGTTGCTTCTCTGAAGGTTTATTGATAATGGCACCCAACCCATACAGGAAAGGGAGGGGGTGATTTTTCCCCAACCTTTCACTCTTTTCTCATTCAGGTCTGCTATAACAGATTTTGAAAAAAATTGAATTCCCTCTGGATGCTAGGGTTTGTGTGAGAGGCTCTGTATTAATGTTGTGGATTTTTTTTGGTGAGTTTGGAATTACTGGAGGAAGAAAAATAAAATGTTCTATCAAAAGTTAGAATGATTCAAATAATTACTCCATTATATAGAGTAAAATCATGCATAACTTTATGTACAGTACTGTAAGAATGTAAGGCATTTAAAATAATATTTATTCATGATAAATTTTAATAGTCAATATTTATATAGAAATCATAATTATGATTATAGATTTTAAGTTAGCCAAACAGAAACATGACAGTACTTTTGAAGCAAATACCTCCAAGTGGATATCCTTTAGTGGAAGAAATGTTGTTCAGAGGTAAGCAACCCATTTACAGTTTCTGTATTTGTGGTATGGTGTTCATTCTTTATATGGTATTTAGCGAGCAAATCAATGTTCAATAAAAAGCTTACTCATTCAATATTTCTTACAGTGCACTCCAAAAAAAAAAATAAAAATCGGTATCAATGTGGAAATCTGAAGCAACCTGAGGACAGGAATGTAATTCTTAAAATGCACAATAATGCTAACCAAGAGAGCTTAAATGAAAGAAAAGGGAAAGAAAAAGATGTAATCTTTTGCAGCACACTGTAGTACCTTGGCATCCCATTTAAAAAAATAAAGAAAAATCTTGTAAGACTTGATGAGTCAACATTTGGACATTCTAACTTGTGATACCCCCATGAGAAAGGTCACAGTTCTTGTTTTTATTCTCCTGCTGCCCAGGAAGAAGAGGAGACCAGGAGGAAATGGCAATATATTCTTATAATTAGAGGCTATACGGCTAAGCAAAGTGAAAATTTGCTAGATTTGTAGGATGAAGGACCCTAGAAAGCAGTTCCTTTCAAAGGACTTTTTTATGTTACAGTGGATGAACCTCTGAATACACAAGATCTTTGAAGGAAAGGTAGCTGCTACTGTAACTAAACAGGCAATATGATTCCTTGTTATTCCATAGGGAGGCTGAAAAGGAGCCAATATTGCTATCTGTGAATATGATGTTAATAAATCTGTTAATGCACTGTGTTTGATTCTTATGTCCATATTTTAAGAGGCTATTGAGAAAGTGACTGGATTTTAGGGAAAATATAAATTATAGTGCTGGAATGCTTATGGTATGAAAACCTGTGGTATGTGGTTCATCCAAGATTGGTAAAATAGTAACTTTGTCAAGGCCAGGAAATACCCAGAGGACAGAAACATCTCTGTGAGATGGCTGTTTAATCTAGCATAAAGAGAGTGGAAGCTGAAGCTAGATATATTCTGGTGAGAAATAAAACACTATTTTAATAGTGAAGGTATTAAACAATTGGAGCAAATTCTTGGGAGGCTAGTGGTTTACTTTGACATTTTCTAGGTCAAGCGTAGATATCTATTTTAAAAACTGTGGGGTTCAGGCAGTAGATGGCATCTTCTACATGTTTATCAGCTATGTCTTTTTCCTTTACAAGTAAAACAGTAAGTGGGACTTCCAGTGTGTGAGCAGTTTGTCCAAAGATGGGTTTTCTAGCCGATCTCTGGCTGAGTACATGTAAATAGCATTTGAACTTCCTTTATTTTGAACATTTTCCAGTCAGTTCCACTAGTTTTTGATGGCTTTCTCTCTTCCCCACTAACCTGTATTTTTTCTATTTTTTCTCAAA